TCTGACCAGAAAGATGGTATGTCTCTAAAAGGAAAGGTTTCATTATCAGAAAAATGGTGCACCTTCAGCTTCAACTCAGCAATCAAATTGTGCAGCTTTTTGTTGTCCTGGTGCCAGCATTCATGCTCATGTTGCTTGTGTGTCAGCTGTAAAGACAGCTCCTCCGTTTCTTTTGCCTGCTTTTGAAGAGCACCATTTTCCTGCATCTTTTCACTGAGTTTTTCTTTACAAGCCATCAGTTCTTGAACAAGTGCTTCCCTCATTTGATCCAATTTGATATTTTCATTTCTTATTGCCTGACATTCCTGTAATAGTATTGTTTTATCTTGCTCAAGACAACCCACCTGATTAATCAAGACTTGCTCTTCTGCTCTATCATCTGCTTCCTTCTTGCAGGAAAACTCTAATTTCTCACTTAGATCCTTGAGCTCAGATTTCAGCAATACCAAGGTATTTTCAAACTGGATTTGCATATTTTCTTCCTCCTTTTCTTCTAACTGTTTTGCTGTAGTCAAATTCGAAGACTCTACTTCAAGGATTCTTTCCTGCTTTTCTTTCAAATCTTTAGTCAAACACTCTTCTCTTTCAACCCTCTCCAGCAGAGAGTCAGCTTTCCGTTCGCTCTCTTTCAGCTTTTCGGCAACATGACCTTTTTTCTTCTCATCAGATTCCGTTTTTACTTTCAGCTTCTCAATTTCGTATAGCATTCGGTCTACTTCCTTCTGTGCTGAGCTGAGTCTAGCAGCAAGTTCACCTTTTTCCATTAAGAAGCCTTCCAAAGATCTAGAAAGCTTTGCATTTTTCATTTCTGATGAACTTAATTTACTCTGCATCATTTCCAACTCTCTTAAAAGCAGCTCTTTCTCCGTGTTCAGATCTGCAGCTTTGTTTTCGAGTTTTTCTTTTTCCATGGCAAAAGACACAGCATCCTTTTCCAAACTTTGTAACTTCTGCAGAAGATGTTTTCTTTCATTTAATAATTGACTTACATCAGATTTTGTAGCCTTGAGCATATTTATTTGTGTCCTCATTTCGGCCTCAAACCTTTTAATGAATTCAGTAGAATCTACCTTAGCTGACTCTGTCTCTTTTAATTCCTCTTGTAGCTTCTGATGCTTATGATCCAGTTCTTTCATATTTTCAGACAAAATACTCAGTTCTTGGCCAAGATGGATTCTCTCAACTGTGACTGAAACAAGGTGCTCTTGAAGCCTAGCAATAGTTCTTAGGTTAACATCCCTCTCCCTTTCTAATTGCTGACACTTGCTTCTTATCAAATCAGTTTCCTTAGCCTGGGCTGCAAGTAAAGCCTGCT